ATTCCCTGCCATGCGGGGGACTAGTGACCACGAACCATACCCTGCAGTCCTTGGGGCACCAAGCTGGTGCCAGGGAGAAAACTGGGGTCGGCTGTGTGCCAGTCTGCGCCTTCACCCCTTGCCATTTCTCCATCCATGACGTCCTTGTCCTGCAGTGAACTCTTATCAGTTACCATAAGTTCACAAGCACATGTTTCAGAAACTTCTTTCGGATGAACAATAACTTGTTTTGGCTTTCTTCTTCACATCGACCCTTCTCCTCCATCATTCCCCCATCTCTTCCGACAGATTTAATGGTCTGTCCACCATGTTGCTGGGCAGGGGCATATCTGTCTTCAAGAGGGCTCCTTGGAGACAGGCACCATTACTGAGCCATCACAGGTGGTATCTACTCATTGACAGTATCATTAATTCAACAAAGAGTCAACACCGCCCACATACGGCTAAGCAGGCCGAGTACCATCAGCTCAATTTTCTGCTTTACATTCCCCACCCCCCTCAACCTTTCCTCATTTTGATTTTACAGGTATGGGTAGATGTTCCACACAAGAGAACTCCTAAATCCATTCAGGCTTTTGAAATGTCAAGAATTCTGTGCTTTTCCCCAAAGATAACCAATAGTCCATGGCCATTTCGTTTCCTGAGAGAAAGACATCCACAGTACTTCAAAAATACACCATAGTCATCCTCCTCTGCCCATAAACTACTTATGAGATCGTGTTATTTCTTCTGACATCTGGTAATAAGGAGAAGAGCAGGTAGACGCTCAAAGACTCCCAGGGATATTTTCCACAGAGGAGTAGAAGGCCTCGTAGGCACAGAACATCTCAAATCCATCTCTGCATCCTCCCACCCAGCCTGGAACCTTGACTCAGCCTTGGGAGGGGCCTGATAAACATCAGTGAGTCAACAGAATCCAGCCCTGAAATGTTGATTAGGAAGCAGGAGTCCCAGCTTGGACATTCAACTTCCGGGTGCAAATGTCAAGGGACTCTCAAGTGACCCCTGGTCAGCTGGAGCCAGTGTACCACACATCTGTCCCCTTCCCAGCGTGTGGTGAGTCTCCTCTCTTTAAGGACAACAGGAGAACCAAGGGAGTGATCAAAAAACAAAGCAAGGGGGCTGAAGCGATAGCACAGCCTTGCACAAGGTTTACCCGGGTACGATTCCCAGCATCCCATATGGTCCCCCGAGCACTGCCAGGAGTAATTCCTGAGTGCAGAGCCAGGAGTAAAACCCCTGAGCATCACTGGATGTAACCCAAAAAACAAAAACAAATAAACAAACAAAAAAGTAAGTTCTCAAAAAGAGTGGCTCCTGTTTCCAGTGAGCTGGGGTGTTGAGACAGAAGGGGCCAAAGGCACCACTTGTTCCATGGATCTGAGGAACAGAGCAGAGAGGGGCCACTGTCCTTCCTGCCTGGGTGAGGGATAGCCTGGTAAAGTTGGGAGAAATAACAGGAGGTGTTCACGCTGAAAGGACACATGCCTATAGTTGCACGTGTCAGCCTGGCTCATCTCTTTTTCTGGATTTGGTGCAGGGACACAAGAAAGTCTGAATTCTCTTTCAAACAGTCAGGGCCTGTCGTGTGGCTCAGTTCCCAGGGAAAGGGACCATCCAAGGCGAGGGTCAGCATCCACTAGCCCAGTCTGTTCAAGTACCGGGAGCCTGCTCACTGCGCACAGCACGTACCCCTTCTCCGGCTGCTGGGGCCAGAGAGATATGCCTGTTTGAAGTCTGCAGCTATGCTCAGGTGCTCGGGCAGTTCTGAAAGGGGACGCCTGTCAGTGTGCCGTCCCTCCTGCCCTCCCATCCACGCTCTAACCACGTCCCTGGCTCTGATTTCTTTTCCCTCCGTGGGATCAGGGAGACTGGATGGCTCCAGCACTGCTGATCGCCCGAGTCAGAATTGGTATAACCGAGAAGCCAGATGTGGCAAAAAGCTCTCCTGAATGCAGTAATTACCCGCATTGCTCCTGGTTTCCTACAGCCAGTATGCATCTGTCTGAATAGACTGAGGGCCCCTTCCCAGGGTCCAGAGCTCAGAAAGAGCACCTCCTGGCACAGTGGGGGAACTTGATTAGAAGTTTCCCTCTATCCTCTTCCAAGGCTCCGGTTGTAGAAGGCTGAGTGGATCAGGCAGACAATTTGACAAAACATCACCACAGTCTCGCAGCCTATGGGGCTGAGCAAACACTGATAGCACTAGCACTCAGCCAGCTTCCACCTCCCCGGGACGCAGCCTTTAGCATTCTGCCCGTGACTAGAACGGGAACAGAAACAAGGTGGTTCCCAGGTGAGAGCGCAAAAACCTGGGTCAGAAATTTGTTCTGCCTAGATCAGCCCAAGGAACCACTCTCTGAGCTGAAATGGAGAGGAAACATCTCCCTGGGCAGGAGCTCTTGCCAGGCAGATGGGTCATGCCCTGGTCCCAACAGGAAGCCAGGGGACAAGTCGATTCCAATGCTCGGGAAGAGCCCAAAGCTTCTGTGTGCTTCCAATTGTGAAGGGCTGGAGGGAAAGAGAGGAGGGGGCCTCCTTAAGCTCCCCCAGTGAATAAAGTCTCCTCAGGCACCGGGATGAGTAGTCTCTCCAAGCTGCCATCAGCCCAGAGCAGACTGTGCAGACACACCCTCTCCAGCGGGGCTCTGCCCTTTCCTGGCCCAGAGAAGGGTTTCTACAGCCCTGGACCCCCACGGACTCCAGAGCACAGGACAGGCCCCAGTGGCATCCAGCTTACCTCTCTCCTCCCAAGTTCTCCCCACTTGAAAAGGAAGGCATCCCTTTGTTAGCTGGTTTGCCTTCTAGTTTGGAGGTATTTCGGGGCTGCTCCCGGGTCCCTCCTGGGGGTGCTTCAGGAACCATACTGTGTCTGGGATGGAAGCTGGAGCTGCAATCCTTCCGGCTGCTTCCTCTCCCCAAAGTTACATTACAGAAGTGCCCAGGGGGTACAGGGGAGCCCTCAGACACGGTCGGCCAACCAGGAGGGGTGGCCCATTGCTGAGGATCATCAGGGCGACCGCAACAGAACTTGGGGGCTATAGTGCTTGGAGGCTCTCAGTGCTGTCTTTAGTGGTACTAAGGGCTATCCAGAGGCATTTGCTGGCAGAGATTGAAACAGGGTCCCAAACACACAAAGCAGGTATGGCTGACCTTGGTGCTGTCCCAAGCTCCATAAGGTCTGCTCTAGGCCACACTGCGTCCACGTCCCCGAATGTAGGCCCTTCCTGCTCTCCCAAAATTGCATAAATTGTAAACCACTTAAGCAGTTTGTTGATTTGTTTTAGAACTGATCTCTCTCTTCTCTTCTCTTCTCTCTCTATCTCTCTCTTTCCAAACCCTTCGCCAGGTAAGAGATATCTGAGATGTCTGACATTCACTAATCCTCCCCTTCCATGCAAAGGAATAAAGAACCAAAGTTTAAGATACAGAGAGCATACTGGGTAAAGCGCTTGCCTTGTACCTTGCCCCCCAGGGTTGGATCCCTCATGTCCCATAATGTCCCCCTAGCACCACCAGCAGTAACCCCTGAGCTGGGGGTGGCCCAGAAGAACTAGGTGCCCGGTAGCCCCCACATCACACTACCTCATCAGAGGTCAATCCTGTCAATGCCAGCTTCTCATTCACCCAGCTGCCTAGAGACCACTTCCCACACTGCACAGGCCTCCGGGACCTGCCAACCCGCTACTGACTGGACCCACCCATTGAAAAAAAAAATTACTTTTCCTCAGCGTGCTGGCCATATGTGGCGTTTATTTCCAGAGGCTGCCGGCCCTGGTCCCTGTGGACAGATGTTGCTTTGTGCAGCGCTAACACTGCTGGCGGCCTGCACAGCTGCCCGTAGCAGGTGGCCAGGGAAGAGGCCCATTCCCGGCTGGAAGGGAAGGATGACATGCTCTTTGAGAAGGTTAGCGCCCCCAGAAACCTTATGCCCCTGCAGCCTGGACTGTAAGTATCTCTCTCTCTCTCTCTCTCTCTCTCTCTCTCTCTCTCTCTCTCTCTCTCTCTCTCTCTCTCACACACACACACACACACACACACACACACACCCTGGTGCAGAACCTGGGCCTCCAGGGAGCTAAAGAAACCAGACAGGCAGCTGGGCTGCGTGCAACGAAGGGACAGAGGAGAAGTCCCTGAGCCCTCCAGTCCAGTCCGCAGTGAGCTCCCGAGACCTCGCCAGGGCCCTGCGCAGACAGATGGCAAAGCGCTCTGAGGCTGAGGACTCCGCAGGAATGCGAGGTCCGCGGGAGGCCCCCTTCGGGCTGTGTTTTGTTATCTGATCAATTCGAAGTCCCCTCGGCTGTCTGTTCTGCCTCAAGCCACCACGGCAGACAGAAAGGGGGTCTCTGGCGCGCGCGCGCACACACACACACGCACACACGGGCCAGGCGGGGGACAAGGCACTTCTCTGCCACTTGTCTCTCTCATTTGAAAGTCAGAGCGCTGCCGCAAGTAAAGTGCGTGTGTGCGGAGGGGGCGGGAGGCTGGCACCACCGAGTCTAAAAATACTCGATCAAAATGCTAATCCCCGAGGCGCAGAGCACAGGAAGAAGGAATCTGTCAATCAGGAGGCGCGCTCCGCACCCACAGCCCCAGCTGTACGGGCCGCATTCCTGGCGAGCGCCGGGGGGACCCCGGCTGCGGCGGGGCGCGGGGCGCGGGGCGCGGCGGCACCTCCACGAGCGCGGCGCGGGGGCGGGGGCGGGGGAGGGGCGCCGGCCGGCCGCCGAGTGGAACAAAGCGGGGCCTCAACTTCCAGCCCGCGGCCGCCCGGGGCCCCGGGGGGCCCAGTCCGCCAGCACCGACCCCCGGCCGGCCGCTCGCGGGCAGCCCGCGGGAGCTGCGGGGCCGAGAGCGCCGCGTGGACGCCCCTCGGCTCCGGACGCCCGCGGACGCAGAGGAGGTTCTGGTTGCTTTGGGGGGGAGGGTGCGATCCCCCGCCCTCCTCTCGCGCTCACCGCCCCCCACCCGCCCGCCGCCGCCCCCCGGACCCCCACCTGGGGATGGTGATGCACTTGGTGTTGACGTTCTGCGTGGTGATGGCCTTCTCCAGCTCGTCCAGCTGTCCCGTCTTCTTGAGCTTCTTGACCAAACTCTTGACCGCCTTCTCGCACCATTTCTCCTCCTGCCCGTTCTGCTCGCCCTTCTTCCAGCCCAGCAGGCGCTTCACGATCGGCGGGGTGAAGGGCAGGATGGACGACATGGCTGGGCGGGCGCGCGGGCGGCGAGGGGCGCCCCCGGCGGGGCCGGGCTCGGCGTCGGGGGCGGCGGGGGGGAGCGCGTAAACTTCGCCCCAAAGTCCCGGCAACTTGCGGGCGCGGCGGCCGGCGGGGCCCGGCGCCCCGAGCGGCTCCCGCGGCCGGCGCGGACAAGGGCGGCGGGGGCGCGGGCGGCCCGGCTCGGGAAGGCCCGGCCGAGACGCGGGCGGCAGCCGAAAGTTTGGGTCTGCGCACCGGGCCGCGGCTGGCGTCTGGGCGCCGCCTCCAGGAAGGAAAGTCCGCCCCCCCCCCCGCCCCCCGAGCCGCCAAACTTTGCTCGCTTTGAAGCGCCCGAGCCTCCGCCCCGCCGGCCCCGCCGCCCGCCGCCTTCCCGGCTGCTCGCGCCCTCGCTCCCCCGCTCGCGGGGCCGGCCGGGGCGTGCGCCGCGCTCCCGCGCCCGTGCCCGCGCCCGGTCTGCGCTTCATGCAAATCCGCGTGCAGCCGCCTCTCGGGGCGCTGTCGCCGCCCCCTCGCCGCCGCCGCCGCCGCCGGGGCCCCGCGCGCGCCCCGCCCCCGCGGCCCGCGCCCACGTGGGCGGCCCCGGCTCCGGCTCGCGGGGCCCCGGCGCCCCCCGGGCCGCGCGGCTGGGTTCGGGCCGTGGCGTCGCTCGCGACCCCGCGTCCTGGAAGCTCCGAAGGACCCGCGGGCTGGGGAAAGTGTGTGTGTGTGTGTGTGTGTGTGTGTGTGTGTGTGTGTAGGGGGGGGGCGTCGGCAGCGAGCGGTCAGCGCTGACGGCTCCACGGTCGGCGGGGCGCCCCGGGAAGATCCCCCCCACGCCCCGACCCCGGGCGGGGGTGCAACCTGGCCGATCGGATCCGGACCGAGGCCTGGGCCCGCGCCTCCCGCGGGAGCACCGTGAGCTCACCAATGCCGGGACCCCCACCCCGGCCTCCGCTCGTGCGAAGGCGGGAGCTGGATGCGAGCGGGGACGACCCGTTAGAGTCCGGGGGTCCCCAAACCTTGGGAAACCAAGTGCCCAGATCTGAAAGCGGGCACTGAGTCCGGGAAGACGGGAAGAAGGGCGTTCTTGGGGTGGGGGGTGGAGTGGGAGCTGAGCCTCGACACCCAATAAATACGAGGAACGGAGCGGAGCGCTTTGTTTCCCGTCTGTGCACGTGGAAAAAGGAGGTGGGGGGGGGGGGGGCGGGAGTGAAGCAAAGAGGACGGGTTTGGAAAGTTTGACTTGGAAAGTGCGAGGGAGCCTTGGTGGGAAGCAGAGGAGCCCCGGAATATTGGGGTGGGGGGCGGCAGGCGCATCGTCCCAGGAGCCTCTCTGTCCTGCAGCCGCCCACAGCTCGTCTCGGGCCTTTGTTTTTAACAGCAGGAACCCCAGTGGAGAGAGAAGCGAGCTGCACGCCCTCCCGCTGCCGGCTGGGAATTACAGAGCCCGAAAGGGCGAGGAATTCACAGGCGAGGCTGGAACCCCGCGGGGGGTGCCGAAAGGGGCCTCCCACGAACCTGTCAGCTGCACAGCTTAGAGCCCCGCAGGCGCAGGCGCTGCCCTTCTCGGGGCCTTAGAGAACTGTCCCTGAACCACCAGGGGCCTTCCCATCCCAGGGCTCCTGGTTCTGGACAGCTACCCTCACCCGCAACCTGCAGTCGCCAGAGTCTTGGGGTTTGCTCCCTTCTCCCGAGTCAGCATCAAAACACAAGAGAAGGCAGGCAGTGTTGGGTTCCTGGGGACTCTCTTCATTCCCAGGTACCCTGGAATGTCATCGGCAATGGCGCTAAGGTCAAGGTGGACCACAGTGGACAGGACTTCCCCACACGTATCCAGCAGCCTTGGGAGTCAGGAGGGCTGGCATGTTCTTTGCAAACTCAAATGCTCTTGAGCCAGGTGGCCTGCAGTAAGTGTTCACTTACCTGTAGAACAGGAAGAGCTTTCCCATCCACCTCCTTGTGCTGTGCTAAGCTAGTGGGGAAGGCCACAATGTATAAGGGCTAGAGCCACACCTAAGGATGTCTTAAATGGCCTAACTGGCGGAGACCAGCTCTCTCTTCCACCAGACACATCCCAGATCTGGGCTACCCTCCCCCCAAGTTGGTTCTGGGGGTGCAGAAATAAAAGATCAAGGTTCCCTGGGGCTGTAGCCATACTACAGAGGGGAGGGCGCTAGCCTTGCACATGACCAACCAGGTTTGATTCCCGGCATCCCTGAGCACTGCCAGGGGTGATCCCTGAGTGCAGAACCAAGAGTCACCTCTGAGAATGACCAGGTGGGGAGGGCTCAGAAACAAAAAGCAGCAGCAGCAGCCACAACAACAACAACAAACTACCATGCTTCACCAGTAAATAAACGATTAAAAAAAATCAAAGTCCCTAATTTCAAGAAACTCCTCCCCTAGGGAAGCACCAGGGGGTGAAACTGGCAAAACAACCCTGTGGACTTCACACTCAAATGACCAGGCTGTGAAAACAGAGAAGCGGCTGAGATAAAGTCCGGAAGTTGGGGCTTTCCCAAGGGAAGGACAGCAGTGGCCCGGGAAAGAGCCCAACACACCTCTCTTTTGGGCGCAGTCTGCCCTGGCCAGGACAGGGACAGCCAGGTCCCAAGCAGCAGTGCTGGGCACTCACGCAAGCTCCACCATGCTCTTCCTGGGCCAATCCGCCCTGCTCTGGCCTCAGCTTTGAGTTATGGGGCTGAGAGGGACCTGTTCCATAGAGCCATAAGGAGTTGAGGGACAGGACCCTCTTGCTCCAGGAGCTCACAATTCCCCTGACTTTGGACAGTTACTGAATGGGGGGAGGGGGCTCAAAATCTCTAGGAACTCATTTCTGCAGCCTGGTCTCCTGGGGCTCCCCAGGTCTTGCAGAGCTTGTCTTTGTAAGGGAAACGTTTGCCCAGTTAATTTTTCATCATAATAAGAGTAAAGTTCAGGAGAGGTGGAATGGGGCCCGAGGCAGCAGCTGGTTTCCTTGGGAATTAACTTGTCCTGGGTTGGGGGTGGAGGGACAGAGCCTTGCCTGGCACCAGCCTGTGGCTACCCAGTGGGGGCCAGGAAAGGAACCAACACCCACCTTCATTTCTGTTAGGGTTCCCATCTCCCCATCAGCCAGAGCATTTGCATCAATAAGTGCTGAATGGAATGAAACCACCAAAGACACATCTTCCTTTCACAGGGCAGAAGGTGACTTCTGGAGAGCAGAGGTGATCTGCCACATGTCAGAAAGCGACCCCCTCATCAGAGTGGACAGTTGTGCCTATAGAAGCCTGTGTCTCTAGCTCGGGGAGGCGCAGGTGCCAGGGACCCTTCCTGCAGCACCCCACACAGTGCTGGCCCGGGCTTTGAGCTCTGCACCTTGCAGCAAGTTCCTTAGCACTGAGTGCCAGGTTCCTCAGCCATGGGGTGGGCCAATTGGGTGGCCACCACCACTTAGGTGTCTAGCTATAGGAGGCCATCCAGACAGCCCCAAACCAGTATGTGGCAGGTTCTGTGTGTCAGAGGCAACCTGTGGCTTTGCTGAGCACTATAGGTCACCCAACATCATGAGACAGGAGTGCAGTGACGGAGTGACAGTACACTGGCCTTGTATGTGGCTGACCCAGGTTCAATCTACAGTACCTTATATGGTTCCCCAATCACTCTTGGAGTGATCCCTGAGTGCAGAGCCAGGAGTGAGTGCAAAACTAAGAGTGTGTGGCCCCAAAATACTTAACAACAACAACAACAATAACACTTCCCTATACAAAGAGCACAGAGACTTGGCAGGTGGGAAGGAGACATAGTTACACACTGAATGAAAGTCATTGCACAATGCTACTTGTATTTACAAAATTACATGTCCGCCAAGTGCTGCTCATTTGGAAAGAAAGCTTGCAAACTGAAGGATACATTATTGACACTTCACACCTCATTAGGATGACTTTGTCTAGAACAGAAAGCCGTAGGTGTTATGGAGAAAGAGAACCGGAGCTTTCCATTCTGGCTGGTGGGAAAGTAAAAGGAGGTGGCCACTGCACCATGTAGTACAGAGGCCCCTGATGAAAAGTAAGTGGAGATGGGGCAATATGCAGTGGTTAGGGAGAGTGCCTGGTGGAGGTTTGATTACTGGCACCACACGGTACCACACGGAACCTGGAGCATCCCCGGCTGCTGTCTAGAAGGCCTCCCAGGCATCCCCGGCACAACATGGCCCAAGGAGCACCTCATCCTCAGGTCTTTGCAGTGAGTCGCCAGCCAAGTTGGCTGAGAAACACCATTGGGCTACCAGACCTCCTGACCAGCATTTGAGAGCCCCTTCCCCTCCCGCACCAAATAAATTAAAAAGTAAACACAGTAGCTGGAGGTAAGGCCTAGCATTCTGCTGACTCCAGTTTGACCCCTGTCATCACATCTGCCCCCAAGCACTTCTGAGCACTGAGCCAGGAGCAGCACCTGAGCACTGTTGGGCATGAATGTCAACAAACATTAATTTTAAAAATACATGCCTTGAAATAAGAAGGTACAACCACCACATGCTCTAACACAGACAGACCTTGAAAACATTCCACTAAGAAAAATAAACTGGTCAAGAAATGACCCAGTGGGGGTTGGAGCAATAGTACAGCAGGTAGGGCATTTGCAGACCCAGGTTCGATTCCCAGCATCCCATATGGTCCCTGGAGTAATTCCTGAGTGCAGAGCCAGGAATAGTCCCTGAGCATCGCTGGGTGTGACCCAAAAAAGAAAAAAAAAAGAAAAAGAAATGACCCCAGAACAGTCAAACTCAGAGACGGAAGCAGAATGGTGGTTACTGAGGTCAAGGGAAGGGAAAGCAGGGAGCCCCTGTTTCACGGGTCTGGAACGTTAGGTGGGGGAGATGAGATACGGGGGTGGCTGTGGAACTGTCTTTATTTTGGTTTGGTTTGGGGGCCACACCTGCTGTGTTCAGGGCTGACTCATGGCCTTGTACTCAGGGATCACTCTTGGCAGGGTTTGGAGGACCATATGCAGTGCCAGGGATCAAAATGGATTGGCCGCGTACTAGGCAGGTTTCTTAACTTCTATATTATCTCTCCGGCCTATCTGCATAATAATAGTTTAAAAACAAGAGGCAGATATAAGGCTGAGTGGTAGAACACAGGCTGGCTTTGATCTTGTCTATCACTGGGTATGGTCACCACAATCTTAGCAAAAAATTAAAAGTTATAATGTAAATATTAAGTACAGAGAGATAGTACCGGGTGTAAAGCATTTGTCTTGCAAACAGCCTGCTCTAATTTGATCTTCAGTATCATCATTTACTCCCTGAACACAGAGCCAGGAGGGAACCCTGAGCACCACTGGGTGTGGCCAATAACAAACAAACAAGAAACAAAGGTACATTTTTTTGGCATTTTTTGGGGGGGGGTCACACCAGGCAATGCTCAGGGGTTACTCCTGGCTCCGCACTCAGGAATTACTCCCAGTGG